TTTCGAATTGGATCAATAGACGTTTTCCCAGCCAGCTCGCCTTCTCGTTACAGTGGTGCCGTGACCATATGACAATATGACAAGCGTGATGAGCGATAACAGTTCTATTATTTGGAGTAAATGACATTGTATCAACCAAAACCTCACAAAATTTAGGTGTACTTTGAATACAGTTTCTCCAAAATCGGGGACTATAACCGAGTCGGTGAACCATTGGCAGTTCACCTAGGAAAGTTGGCCAAAAACCCTGATTCCAAACAAACCAAGAAAAGGCGTACGAACTACATTCATCCACACCTCCCTGGTTGTGGCAGCGATCAGATGCTCGATTGGGTATCGAGGTGCATTGGGCACCTTGGATGTTTTACCCCGTCCAAAGGGCTTACGATCCGATAAACTAGACTACGGCCCCAACGGAACGCGGTTTTCAGAAACCGCCTCACTGTTTCGCGGGGCCAGGCTTTGGTTGGTCGAGGGTTCTGGGTAACTCGGTAGTATCGCGCCCACAAGCGAATCATGGAACTGTTCTCTGGCGCCAGATTTACCCTTTGTATCAGCAAATCGCAGCATGAGCATGCAATACACTCGGGTTGTTGTCTAGAGTCGCATCCTCTCTCCCTCTATCGTTGTTGGGGATTAAGCGAAAGGCACTTGCCTGAATCGTAAGCCTAAACTGAACACAACAGTAAATCATTTATGAACTATCTTTGACCGGTGGCTTATCAGGTGACTTTCTGCTATGTGAGTCAACTTCATTAAATAATCCATGAAGGATCTTATAGATATGGTACAAAGTGACATCCATCTCCAGGAACCGATCGGTCGTTTTCCTTGAGGGTGCACGCACCTCCAGTCCTTACACAGCCTATTGCTGCATGTGAGACAACAGGGTAGTGGCAATGAACTTAGTCGGCCAGTTTGGCACGCGTCACAATGTGTGACTTTTGATGTAGAGAAATTAATCACTTGTCGTGTGAAAATCGGCTACGTCCTCGGGTAACGCCGCTGATCGTCAGAGATTGCCCAGTCGAGAAAGCAATACCTACCTACTTTAGGGTTAACCACCTATTTTTTATTTTATTTTCACACACGTTTGAATCCAGATTGCGTGCCAAACAAATCATGATACAATAATCTTCATCAAAAAGAAAAACGTTCCATGATTGGCTCTTAGGCTGAATACTGCCAGGTTGCCCAGGCCAAGGAAGATGAACTTTTTTGAAGAAGCCACAACCGGAGCCTTTGGCTAGCCAAAGCCTGACCTGCAAGGCAGCGGGGCGGTGTGTGAAAACCGCAATCCACTGGAAGCCGGTGTCCCGGTCATCGGATCATATACGCTTTGGACGGGGCCAAATGTCCA